GGAGTATTGCTGTACTTGTGGAATATTGCTGTTCTTGTGGAATATTGCTATTCTTGTGGAGTATTGCTGTACTTAGCTGTCGCTGGTGTTTTTCCACAGATGTTCTTGGGGGCTACAATGGGACCATCTTTGCGTACGGGCAGACCTCCTCAGGAAAGACACACACAATGGAGGTAGGCTGTGGTTCGCCCTGTGTTTTCCTCTTTGCTCTGTCTTACAGCACCAGCTGTAGAGGAGTGAAGACAACACCGCAGAAGATGACAGGCAGCAGTGGGTAACAAAGACAGACCTCCACTTCCTGATTTGTACTATTGTTAACAAAAAGGCTTTGTGTGCAAAACTAGAAATCCTGTTCAGCACCTGAATAGCACTGATGGGCCGGACACACTGTTCTCCCGGTGTCCGCTGGACAGACCTAGTCATCTGAGTACGGCAGAGCCAATGGGAAGGTTCTTTGGTTTTTTTTTAAAGCATTGCGCTGATCTGGTTGCCTTTATCCCCAGCTGCACTTTGTAGAATTGGCACCTTCATGTATAGTAACAGGGGAAGACATGGATTTTAAAAAAGCACAAGCCAAACACAAGAGAACACCTTTTTTTCTGCAGTGTTTTGACAACCTTCGTGAATTTTGTGGTCTTTATGAGGAGTTCACACAGAAATTGAAGACTATGTCTTCCGTTATCATTAAAGAAAGTCAATGACGTTCGCTGTCACAAATTTAGGAATTGGGGAAATTCTGTTTTTTATTTTTTACTGTTATCAACTTCAAGTTTCAGCTTTGCTACACATTAGGCTGGATAAAGATAAATTGGATTAAGTGTGTGGTATTCTTGTCAGCAATATTTGTGATAGTCTGGTTTAAAGCTTACATTCTTACACTAATGAGAAGCTATAAAATGTAATAAAAGTGATTGTATTGTTGTACAGAATAAATAAACACTCTTACATTAAGTATATCTGATTAAGAAATAGGACCTTTTTGGGTCTCAATGATATCAGATCAGGAAATATTTTTTCAAAAGGCAATTATTCTGCCCTTTGTTTTGCTTATAGTCTGAGCTCAGGAAGCCCTGTAGCTCTGTTATAATTAAAGAAAAACTCTACAAGGATTGTAGCTGGTGCAGCACTCTGCCTTCCCACTGAAGGAACTATTTTAACTGTCTTGTACACACCAGACAATAGGATTTCCTCCTTTTCACTGTGCCTCAGATCAGCAGCCTCCACGATTCAGGTTTAAAAGTGTTAAAAGTCAGCAATACGATTATGATGGAACCTACATTGTGAGTGGGTATTACATTGAAGCAAGGAATTCGGTTGAACTACTGAGAGCTTTGCTCAGCGTAGAACCCTTCACAAAGTAAAGAGGACAGCTTTGTTGTGTTTAGCTCTAAAAATCCGCAGCATGCAGGAATATAGTAAGCCATTATTCGAGAAATGGTAATGATTGACAGCACATGATCTTGAGATTGTTTCTACAGAGGCTGGAATGATCCTTACATTTTCATTGGCACTCTGTAAGCCCTAATGCAGTACATTCTTAAAAATCATTATTGTGTGTGTGCTGTTCACACAAGCAGATTGTTGACAAAGCAAATGAGTGAGGGCCCTAGGGTGAAAGTCTGGTGCTCCCGGCATGCTTAGTAAAATGTAATTATCCCTTCATGCAGCACCAGGGATCTCAGGGTAATCACTGTGAGGGAGATGCCAGTACTAAAGAAAAATATTGAGAGCTGAATTCTACTCGAAGTATTTTTAAACGCCCCTCACAAACCCCAGCACAACCACCTCCTTTCCCTTCAGGCAATACAGATACTTACAGTGAGTTAAGATTTTGATTGCACTGGGCCACTGAGTGGCTGATTTGATGGAAATCAAACCTGAACGAGGCAGCAGTCCATTCCTGGAGCTGTGTGTGTATCTCACTGCTGTGCAGACAATGAAATCAAAACTCCTCAGAGACGCTGGGTATTTTATGATCCATTAATATTGGAAACTGGATTCACAATGGGTTCTTTCAAGAACAGTGGGTTAATTTGTTTTTAGTTGTAGTGTTTAGCTGCATTCTGCCATAGTTTTGAAGCATTGATGAGCTGACACCATTTTGTTGTTCGGTTCTTCAGCATTTTCATTGGTCTCATTTATTCCCTTTGCTGAGCTCTGGCCTGTTGGTTACCGTGCTGTGCCGGTCCTGTGTTGCTCAGTTTCACGTGTCCAGTTGTTTCTCAAGACAAGCCGTCCCGCCCCGGGATGCTTGTGTGTGAGCTGCTGTCCTGTCCTGTTCCTCAGGGGAAGCTGCACGACCCTCAGCTCATGGGGATCATCCCCAGGATCGCACACGACATCTTCGATCACATCTACTCCATGGACGAAAACCTGGAGTTTCACATCAAGGTGAGCCAGGTGTTAGACAGTGGCTGGAGTGGAGTGAGAATAAGCAGTCTCTACTCTGCAGAGCTGGGTTCCTCTGGTGATGCCTTCATAAGCTGTCATGCTGAATTACTGTATGTGTCGGGGCATTTATAGGCATTTATGTACTGTATTAAGTATGGTGGGAATTTTTCCCAAGTTTTGTCCATATCATTGCAATGGAAGGTGAAAAGTTTCCTACCGATCAAACTGAGTACAAAGCAGGAAGGGGTGTTTTGCAGTTAAAATCAGTGAGCAGGCTTGAGTATTGTAGACTGAAGATCAGTGAATGGGTCCGAGTGCTACATAGCAGAGCTAAGTGCTGACTGCTGAATATCAGCGACTGGGACTGACTGCTGCACTGTGCACTGGAGACCAGAAACTGGGACTGACTGACTGCTGCACTGTGCACTGGAGATCAGAAATGGGGACTGACTGCTGCACTGTGCACTAGTGATCAGGGACTGACTGGTGCACTGTGCACTGGAGAGCAGGGACTGGGACTGACTGCTGCACTGTGCACTGGAGATCAGAAACTGGGACTGACTGCTGCACTGTGCACTAGTGATCAAGGACTGACTGCTGCACTGTGCACTAGTGATCAGGGACTGACTGCTGCACTGTCCACTGGAGATCAGAAACGGGGATTGACATGCTGCACTGTGCACTAGTGATCAGGGACTGACTGCTGCACTGTGCACTAGTGATCAGAAACTGGGACTGACTGCTGCACTGTGCACTGGAGATCAGAAACTGGGACTGACTGCTGCACTCTGCACTAGTGATCACGGACTGATTGCTGCACTAACGACTGATGATTGAAGCTGAGTGCATCCTGGGTATGTGTCATGCAGTATTACTCATTAGCTGTAAAGTTGTGTTTAGCTTGTTTTGATGCATTAAAACTAGGGTGGCAGTCTCAGCTCATGGAGGGCTATAGTACTTTCTCAGCTTATAGCCCTAACATCATTCACCTTTGGCTAGTGCCATTGATTGATTCATTTGATTGATATATTCTCTTATATGTTACATTTCCCTTCCTTCAGGTGTCTTACTTTGAAATTTACTTGGACAAGATAAGAGATTTGCTAGATGGTGAGTAGGTGTCCAACAGACAACTCTTTTTATCTCTTGGGTTTTGAAAAAAAAAATCCTAAACAGAGGTGCACAGATGTGGAGTGCAGGGAGCCAGGATTACCCCCTGTAGAGGCAGACTGGAGAGGGGAAGTGACGCAGGCAGCACACACCGTGGGCACAGTTCTGTATGTAACACTGGCATAACAGTGCTCTGCGCAAATAAAGTGACCTGACAGATGTAAAGCACAGGGAAGATTGTGTCATGTTGAAAGCTGTGAGTCCCCCTGATCTTCAACAAGCTGACATCAAGTAGTAGGAGCTGTTAATGCTGCAGGACCTGACTGTTTTTGCTTGCGCTCATGTGAAAATCGAATGACCAAATGAAGGGAAGCACAGTATGTCTATACAAACTTCTTTTCTGTTTCTGTTCCAGCTTCCACAAACATGGTTATTTTAGATGCACACACACGCACAGAGTCTCAGTAGACTTCAGGGTCTAGCTCAGCGCTGAACTAGGAGATGAAGATCTTGATCTAAATTAATGCTCATGTGGTTTCTCTTCTGTTTGTTTGAAGTTTCCAAGACCAACCTCGCTGTGCATGAGGACAAAAACAGAGTTCCCTACGTGAAGGTAAGCAGGTTGTGAGGGGTCTATTCGTCTTGTTCCAGGCTGAAAGCCCCACGCTTGTTACTTATTTTCTTCTTTGACCTTGAAGAGTTTTTTTCTGGAGAATCTTGAAAGCTGTAAGGCAGCTCTACAAAGCGGTGTTTGGACGCTCTGAGAAAGTGGAGGGTGACTGGAAGCTGGTGTTTTCCCGCAGGGCTGCACAGAGAGGTTTGTGTCCAGTCCTGAGGAGGTGATGGATGTCATCGATGAGGGCAAAGCTAACCGTCATGTTGCTGTTACCAGTATGTATCACTGACAGTATGTTGCGTTATCTTCACTGCTCTCAAGAAGTTATTCGCTGACTCATGAATTTTCTAAGGCTACAGTAATGCTGGGGTTTTGTATGTGACTATACTAGAGGGGCTTGGTTCTAGGCACTTTTAACTCAATCTAAGAATCTGCCATATTCTAGATTATAACTAAAATAAAAAGCTTTATCTTTTTTTTTAAACTTAACAAGTTTTAAAGATTGCATACTTAGAACATGTAGTTATCATGTTAAAATGACAATTGCAATGATAGACTAAGATTATAGAACAGCGCACTACTTTGTTTGATTTGCGTAGATATGAATGAGCACAGCTCCCGGAGCCACAGCATCTTCTTGATTAACATCAAACAAGAAAACGTGGAGACAGAGAAGAAGCTGTCTGGGAAGCTGTACCTGGTGGACTTGGCTGGCAGTGAAAAGGTGGGTCTTCTGAACATAGCATGTAGACAGCATCATGATGGCACCACCTTAAAAACCCGTCTCTGGTTCTTGTTTTTAATGAAGAGAAGATGTGCATACTGCATTTCCTGGCTGCTGTGGGGTGCCCTGTGAACTCATTGAAACGAACACTGTAAATCAGGAAAGCTGTTAGAGCTGGACTGCGTTGTGTAATGAGGAGCTGTGGAACTACATATGGATCAGTGAAATGTCAATCTCTGCTTACATCCGCATTGTCTGTCCTCACAAAGCCAACAAATGACTTTACACTGGATGTATTGGAGCAATAAAGTAAGGCTTGTTTGCCTTTAGGAGTGGAAGAACCTGCTCTCTGTCTCTTTCTGGCATCTTATTCTCTCTGTTATTTATGTTCTCAGGTCAGCAAAACTGGAGCAGAAGGAGCTGTATTAGATGAAGCTAAAAATATCAATAAGTCTCTGTCAGCGCTGGGGAATGTCATCTCGGCACTCGCAGAGGGAACTGTGAGTCCTCCCGTCTTCACTCACTGTTATCTCATCATTATTTATGTCTGAGCCTCACAGTAATGAGAGACTGAGGCTCTTTGCTGCTTTATTATATACCAGAACGACAACATTTCTACTGAGAGACTTAATATGGACATCACATACCAGGGCAGTGTGCTAAACTCTCTCCATTTTGCATGGAAATGTAGAAATATTCTGTACGGTACTGTTTGTTGATAACAATAAAAGGACTAAAATTATTTGCATGTCTTCACAAATACAGGTACTGTAAGGTTGTAAAACTAACTCTTAAAGAAACTCAATGTCATTAAAGCAAACAAGAAAAGACTTATTTGAATGTCTAATATAACTTATTATTGTGTATGGAGCTACGATGCTTTCTTGATGGTAGAATCAGACTTGGTGTTCTGTGAGCCATCCTATCCTTACAGAGCTAAACCAAGTTTTAACAGAGACAGAAAGGCTTAGAGTCCAAGTCCAGTTCTCAAGAATCATAAGACTATGAAAAATTTGCTCTCTAATATGTATGTTTCTGTCGGTGGGCTTGTCTTTTTGCCTGTAGAAAACCCATGTTCCGTACAGAGACAGCAAGATGACCAGAATCCTGCAGGACTCGCTGGGAGGCAACTGCAGAACCACCATTATCATCTGCTGCTCCCCCTCGGTCTTCAACGAGGCTGAGACAAAGTCCACCCTGATGTTTGGGCAGAGGTAGGTGGGGTCCCTGATTAAGACCCTTGAATTATTGGGATAAGGCTCTTAACAGGCAGTGCTGTGTGTTCCGAAAGACAAGTAAAACACTGCTGCCATGCATTTCAGCTTTCTCTCTTCCCTCTCGACTCCCCCAACGCAAAGTATGTCATGAAGATGTTACAGCTGTTAGCCAACAGCTGTTTTTTCCCCCGGTTTGTTAGAGAACCGAGAAGGACTGTGTGTGTTTTGTTTTAGTCTTTGCCAATCCCCAGGACTGGAGTATGAGAGCCACTAGGAAGTGGTGATCTACAGGATAGTTCAGCTGGAAGGGCACAGTCTGGCTGCCCTGGAGTTCCCCCTTGATTCAGCAGGTGCAGCAGTTTCTCTCGCCTGTCCCAGATTTGCTGTGCAGCAGGGCTGTGGTGTGTCGCCCGGGTGGGGGCTGAGCTTCAGAGGTGCATAAACTGGGTCCTCTCCCTTATATTAACTGCTATACTGCATTATATTATATAGTAGTTCAGGTGGGCAGCTGCGTCAGCATGCGTAGTCTACAATGGAACAAGTAACAGGTTTATTCCATGATGAAAAGAGAAGAGAGAAAACACAATATTTCGGCCGTGGAGCCTTCTTCAGGTGTGTCATTATATTATAGAGCTGTTGTCAGTTCTGTACTGTAATATAATTTTCAGTTACTGTTTATCCTGCAAGCAGGGCGATGTGTCAGTGTGGGTTGGCTGCAAAGGCACAAGCAAAGGTTAATTCCTTGCTGAAAGGTACAGAGAAGACACCTGAGCAGGGTCCAATTGTTTTATAGGTAGCTCACATCCCCAGATTTGCAGAAGCGACTCTCTGGCAGGGACTGGAGTGTTGTTTGTGCTGTTTGTGCCGTTGGGGAGGCAGAGCTGTTCTGAGTGACACTGCGGCTCCGCAGGAATACTCGGCTGTTAGTGTCTGTCTGCTTGCCTTCGGGCTCAAGAGTCCGTCTGGGCTGATCAGTAATCAGACATCTCCAGCAGAACCCCAGCTCAGATATAACAGTTTTTCTGGAGAGCAGAACAATGATGGGGATTTGATTGGTGCTGAATTTCAGAAGTACCCCCTCTTCAAAAACGCACCTGTCTCCCACTATAGACTTTTTTATATCTCTGTTTATAGGTCTTTCAATAACAAGCACCTGTGCATCTAACGGCGACAGTCTAGTTTTTAGTCCTTATAGTTAATTGATGATAGTAAATGAGACCAGTATATTCTCACTCCCTAACACACTGCAGACAGCTTTATAGTGTTCTATAGTGTTTACTCTGTTCAAAGACTTTGCTGCAGCAATCTTTGTCTATAACTGTTGACGTGCAGTCTGCACTATCAGTTTAATAATAGAACAGTAACATTTAATTTGATTTTGTCCGTTGTCAATCAGTGTGATATTTACAATGCTGTGCAAAAGTCTCAGATGTTTTGTACAGTTCTACTTTTTTCATGTTCTTTCTTCTTTGTGCAGCAACACAATTCTGTTGTGATCTGCTGAAATTCTAACCATGTTGTTTTAAGATAATCCTGATAGAGCTGTGTTTTACAGCACATAAAGAAGAAGTCGAACGTTATGGATTTCTTAAAAAGAAACAAATTATGTTAATTTAACAGACGCACATGTTCACACACTCACACCAGGGCCAATGTTCACAGAAGCCTATGAACCCACTAGTTTGTCTTTGGAGTGTGGGAGTAAACTGGTGCACCCAGAGGAAACCCACACGAACACTGGGAGAACATGCAGACTCCACCCAGACGGCTCCCCAGGTCTGGAATCGGACCGAGGACCCCAGAGCTGTGAGGGAGCAATCGTAACCACTGCAGCACCATGGCACCCTAATAAGAATCCGAGTTATTTGAATACTGTAGTAGAAAACACTGGTGGAGGAGATGTTGAGTAATTTGTTGGTTATCATAAATAGACATATTGTGACTCCTGATTGTGTCTGAGAGTTGTGCACAGGATTGAATGTAGTCTGTCGTAAGCCAGAGAAAGGGAAGGGTTATTTCATTGTTGGAACTCCTTCAGTAACAAGTCACGGACCAGCAGTAGGCCTATGCTGTGATGTGTAACCTGATCAGTGTAAATGTCATCTGATTTAAAAGATGTCTCACTGTCCTTCAATACAAATGCAATAAACAGGGCCTCTTTTGATTAAATCGGCAATTGAGATTTAGGTCATATACTGTATTTTGAAAGTTCTGGTTTGTCACTAGATAATATGAAGCTATTATGATTTTTCTTTGTGCTCTAAATTTAAAAAGCTGCTCAGTACAGCGTTAAGAGGGTCTCTATGTCATCCTGCTCGGGGAGTCAGGGCTGTTGAAATATGCAGCAGCTCTGGGAACTGGGATGCCTTTCAGCAAGGTGAAGCTTTCTCAAACCGCCCAGCCGATTTAATGGAATTCCTTCAGACCGTGAAGCACACGGATGTTGTTTTTGCTCATGTAGATACAGCAATTAAAGTAGCTTTGTCTTCTAGCTGTATCTTATTAACTATTTGGATTTCTCACGCTAAGCCTGCTGTTATAAAGGAAGGGGCTTCGAGTCCTAAGCAAGCAGCCAGTGTTGCTCAGGGGCTGCAGGCTCGGCCTGGTTTCTGGCTGTGGCTGTTTCCGTGGGGAGACTATGCTTCTGCAGTGACAGGGACGTGTGCTGACGCAGACCGTGCTGCAGAGGTGGCTCGTCTCCTGACGGGGAGCCCAGCACTCCGGCAGTCAGTTACTAAAGAGAGAGGGGAGGCATTCAGATTCACCCTGAAATTAAGTCTGAGATTTTATCGAGCAAGAAGCCGGAGTGTTAGTGAATGGAAATGACTAGAAAATTATTTCCCCGTGAACGTGTACCGGTGATTAGGATGCAGTGCATCAGAGAATGAGCACACAGCAGGTTTAAATGGGCTTTTGTTGGGCTGTGAGTGAGGAACTCAGCCCCCACCCCCGGGGACTGAATACGCACAAGCTGTAAGCCTGCTGCAGGTCCGTACAGTAAGGATCGCAGGGGGAGGGGCGGCTTCTGATCATCGATCTGATCAGTCATCATTTTCCCTTTTCACTCTGGTCAGTTCTTACTGTGATTTTTTTGTGGTTGCCATCTAGTGAGATTTGCAAGCAAAAAATAAAGAAAAGAAAAGAAACACATATGCTTGAACGTTTTTGATTAATTTGTTGATAAAAATATGATGAAGGAGTCACAGCTGATATGAAGGATGTTTTTCAGCCAACAAAATGGAGACATCTGTAAAACAGGCAGGATTAAAGAACACTAGTGGCTTGTTTTTGGATTTTGGCTTATCCTTTTTGCATTTTTACTAAATACTGTCCAGGGCTAAACATGAATCCTTTCCCTAGTCCTGGAGCTCCATGCTGTATCTGTAGTTGTGCACAGGGAGAGGCTTTCCTTTTAGAGAAAACAGGGCAATATGATGACACTTTGGCTGCCCTCTGTAGTAAGTCTGTAGTAAGACGAGGAACACGGTTTCTTGGGGACGTTGCTGTGGAAGGGTGAGTGGGTGAGGTACTGTTAACTCTTACACCACTAACCCTGCAGCCAGAGAGATGGGCTTGGAGTTAGTCCTTCAGGCTAACAGCAGAGAAGAAAGTAGCACAGCGCAGGCTGCAGACTGAGGTACCATTAGAGCATGCCTCTGTGGTTACCTTCCTTTCCAGGCAAGAGTCCCCTGAGGAGCCATGCTGCCTGGATTCACAGAGGCACCTGAAGCATCTCCCTGCTGCTCCCAGCTGGCAGCCCACTGGAGCTCAGCAGGTGGGAGCCTGGCCAGTACCTGGATAGGAGACTCCTGGGAAAAACTAAGGCTGCTGCTGGAAGAGATGTTAGTGGGGCCAGCAGGGGGTGCTCACCCTGTGGTCTGTGTGGGTCCTAATGCCCCAGTATAGTGACGGGGACACTGTACTGTAAACAGGGGCCATCCTTTGGATGAGATGTAAAACAAAGGGCCTGACTCTCTGTGGTAATTAAAAATCCCAGGATGTTTCTCAAAAAGAGTAGGGGTGTAACATCCTGGCCACATTTCTCCCCTCGCCTTTACCCATCATGGCCTCCTAATAATCCCCCTCTCTGAACTGGCTCCATCACTCTGGTCTCCTCCCCACTGAGAGTTGGTGGGGGGGATCCCCATTACCTGTAAAGCATTTTGAGTGGAGTGTCCACAAAAGTGCTACATAAGTATGAGGATTATTATGAGTGCCTGGTCAGTTGTCTACTGAGACCCTGTACAGTTTATTCTTGGTAACAAGATAAGCCATTCATAGCTCTGTTATGTGTTGCTTATTCATCACATGAAGAAAGAAAATGGCGGTGTCATGTGCTTTAGAAAAGTAATTTCTTTTTTAAATTGTTTCAAATGTTCTACATAATAATTAAATCAGAAATGTATCACCTTACAGTATGTTAGTTGGCTCTTTATGGCTTCAGTCATATGGATCTTTAAATTAATTTGTGCCATTAATTAGGTGTATCCTGTACTCCAGCAGGACTGCTCTATTTTCCCTCCACTGTAAAACCAGACAGACTCTGTGTTTGAAGGTGTCATTGAATCAGTAACAAGCAGTAATCATTTTTCTTTTATTGCCACAGCCCAGAGATACAATACTGCTTTTCCCGTATGCCAGTCCCCTGTTTGGCTCTACTTCCTGAATGCTGTGACTAGATCATCTTTCTGACAGATTTGTTTGTGTCACGATTGTATTCCCTCCTCTTAAGGGCGCTCCGGCTCTTTCACATTTTTCTTGATCAAGTGCACCTGCCTCCAATCCTGTCCCTCCTTAAAAGCCAGACGCTCACTCTATTCCGGGCTCTGCATTGGAAGACGGACGCCCAGAGGCCCGCCTACCACCAAGTCGCCCTACGCCCGCGGCTTGAGGTCCCAGGTCTCCTACCGGCGTCCTGACCCAGCTGAGTCCGGGGCTCAGAGCGCCTGCCCTCGTCAGTCCCATTTTTATTCCCTGTTCCGTTCCGGTTTTTAACCTCGTCTTGTTTTGTCTTGGATGGATCACCCAGTACTGGACTTTTGGACTTCTTCCTGGTTTCCCCTTTCGGATTGTTTTGGACTCATTCGCCTGGACCACGCCCCCCCCCGAGCACCAGGGCACAGTCGTCACGCTCCCCTGTTCATCAGCCTGCCTAGTTCCTCCCATCTCCTCCCCGTGTCTGTTGCACTCCCTTCCAGATTCTATCGTCTGCATAGGGTCCTGATCTACGCTTCGTAACAGTTTATGCTGTGCCTTTTAATTGGACAGTGAAGTGTATATGTGCCATGTACATTCCTCAGCAAGGAGAGTAAATCACTCGCATGAACAATGGAAGTCTATTCAACAGAAGGAAGATTTAATTTGTTGCTCTTGTTTAGTTATAATAATTGCCCATTATTATCAGTTTTATTCCTGATTTAAGGGTGACTTAAAACACATCTCCTGCAGGCTGGAACCAGATTAAAAGTACAAAATACTGTACACATTATGGGAGAAGAATATCATGTCTATCTGAGTAAAAATCCTGTCTCACCACAGCTGCCAGCTCTGTGCCACACAGAAGACACTGGCAGTCATGGGCTCCTAGGTCATGGGAACACATTGATCAAGACATGGTGCTGTGATGCTGTAGTATGGGCTTTCGCGGTTCTGTATCTGTTCTTTGTACTGTGGCCCTTGGGGTGAGTCACTTGAATGAGTCAGGCAGTCTTAACAATCCAGAGAGGAGGCTCGTGAGAGTGGGAGATAGTTTGGCAGAGAAGCTGTTCCAGGAATCTGAGTAGGAAACCAATGGCCTCCCCCTCCAGAGAGATGGACAGCACTACTGCTGACCGAGGCATATAATCCCTCATGTGACTTTTGTCTGTATTCTAGGCAATGTGCTGGACATGAATACGCATGGCACAGGTTGATTTGAGTTTTGTAATAATCCTACAGGTTTCTGAGTAGAATTTGCACTAATTTGCAGTAAGTACATTTGAGACAGGCTTCTTGTTAGTACTGTAGATTAGATGCAGTGTCTGCTGGATCCCTGCCTCTTTTCACTCTCTGAGATTCTCCTGTAATGTGAAGTAACTGAAATGAAAAAAAAAAAATTTTTTTCTTGGCCAAGTTCTGCTCCTCTGCTTCCTGCTCATTAAATTCCCAAGACTGTTTCATGTAGACACAAGAAAGGGAACAAACAGAACACACTGAACAGTTGCTTGTCTGCACGACTGATGTTTCTGTAGCTCCACATTACACTGTATCATTTTCCTCTGAGTGGTCTGTTCAAGATAATGGACATGGTTTCATTTTATACACTGCTGTACCTAATGGCACACGTCTCCTTTATTTAAATGAGGATGGCTTTATCCCTCTTCATTTTTCTAATGACAGAAGCTCTCCAAAATCTATTATCATTGTTTTGGGTGTTGAAGGTTAAGGGAATGTTTTAATTAGTCCTAGCTAATGTGGAGAGAGAGAGAGAGAGAGAGAGAGGCAGCCTTTAATGAATACTGTTTAATTAAAGGGACTGCTTGCTCCCTATTCTCAGAAGTATTGTATCCAATAAGTACACTGAGCCATTTATAGAATCTGCCTCAGAAATAAAATGCATTAAAATGATTGAGTCCTTTCAAAATAATAGTAACAGGCCTCTCAGACTGGGTCACAATAACTCTTCTCAGTCCTCCTGTGGGCCAGTCGTGGGCCGTCACTGCCGAGCGCTGGGCGCGCTGTCAGGCGTCTGGGGCCGAGGGGCTGATGGGAAGGGCTCTCCTCTCCCCCCGCAGGGCCAAGACCATCAAGAACACGGTGTCCCTCAACCTGGAGCTCACGGCCGAGGAGTGGAAGAAGAAGTACGAGAAGGAGAAGGAGAAGAACAAGAGTCTGAAGGCTGTGATCCAGCGCCTGGAGACGGAGCTCAGCCGCTGGAGGAACGGTGAGGGCGGAGGGGATCCGTGTCCGGTGGGCACGTGTGAGGCTGCGCACAATGCAGTGCAGCATTTAATATCCGGGGTGGGGGGCGTCCTGCCGTACGTTAATTTGTGTCGAGGTTTCCTGTAAGATTGTTTCCTTCCTCTCGCTGAACGTTTTCGGGGTCAAGGCAAGTCAGTCCCCTGTGTCCTCACCCCTGACCAGCGGCCTTCGTTACGAAGGAAGAGCTCCAGGAAGGCTCCGAACAGACGGAGGCTGCTGCACCTGTCTGGCCTGTTTAGTAGTTTCTTGAATTAGGTCAAAGTGTCAGCTTCAACCACGTGGCTTTGTAGCTCGTTCCCCACCCCCACAACCCTTTGGGTAAAGAAGTGCCTCCTGTTCTTGGTTTTAAATGCCCTTCCACATAGTTGGCACTCACAGTGCGTTTCACTGGTCGCTCTGAAGAGGTTCCCTGGGTGGACTCTGTCAGCGCTTTGGAGTACTTGTATCAGGTGCTGTCGCAGTCGTCTCTGTTCAACAGGAATATAGAAGCACAAACAACTACGACGTTTTCTACTTTTTAGATCAACAACTGAATAAACCAGGAGCCAGGTTCCCAGCACATGGGCTTGTCCATTATCTGTGGTTGGAGATGAGATTGTGCATCAGCTTCACTTGGGAGGGAGGGTAGATTATTATAGACATTACAGCCATTGTTTGATTTTTTTCCCAAATCCATTAGGTCTTATAACTGTACAAAATGGGACAGGCTGCTGCAAGCAGACAAACATCGTCTTAATGGTTTGTGCACAGTTTTGAAATTTCAGAATTTCAGTGGATTACACTAAAGATCAGGCTTTCGAAATAGTGAGAAACTATTACAGCTCATCATCCATTCTGAAACATGCAGTTGATAGTATGGCTGATGAAATTGCTTTAATGACAAGCAAAGAGCAGGATCCTGCTCATGGAGAACAAGATTGTCAGTCTGGACAGAAACGTTTATCCAGATGGGACAGAGAAAAAACAATTGCAGTGATGCTTCATGCCGGAGCTAATAATTTCCCCTGATCAGTGTAGCAAAAAACAATTTTTTTTCAGAATGATTATTGTGGTTTTGTTTTGAAGTTATTTTTCAGAATAAGATTCTTTCAGATAAGTGTAGCTTCAATGGTTGGGATTGAAAGGTGTGGAATTGTAGGTCACCAGTGCGAATGGCTCAGATTGTGAGTGTAATAGATGACAAAAACGTCTACTCTCTCAGAAGAAGAATAAAGTCTGAGAGGCAGTAGTGAAAGTTCCAGACCCAAGAATGCAGATTATTCTTCGTGTTACTGTTAAAAACAGCCAGTATATTTCAGGTGTAGGGCAGTGAGAGATTAGAATTTGAAAAACTAACTCTGGGGATTAGAACTTCTTTGAGGTCTCTCTAAAACTTCATTATGAGATGATTAGGGACCTACAGCTGTGTTTACTGCCTTCAATCCCGCCATGTAACAGTGAGGGATACATAACACCCCGTGTTATTTCCAATTACTCATTACCCCTTCCTCGGGTTATTTGTCATTTCGCTAACGCTGCTTGGAGAGAAAAGCGCCATTGTTGGTTTTCTTGTCGTCGGGCTTATCCTAGCCGTTCTCATTTTGACTTTTGAGTTACGGTGCCGAGGGGAAGTGAAGAGAGATGGGCTCTGATGTAAAGAGGGATGCCGTATTTCCCTGGTGATCGCTGTGCTCTCGCAGTCCCGGGGGGTGGACTGCTGTCAGCCTGGTTGTGAGGAAAGGCGTCCTGACCCCCTCCACCGACCCGACGTCTGCTGCACAGGGATTTCCATCATCTCCGCGCTGTGCTGCAGCGTTGCTGTGGAAACCGGCTGCCTTTGGCCTAATTCAAATGCATCGGTCTTTAGGGGCAATTTAGCATTGAGCGTCACTGCAAGAAGGATTGACATTCGCTTCTCTTGCGGGTGTATTTACGGGTTTTAACACGTGATCAAAGCGTTATTTATTTTTTTGTTGAGGGAGGTGACAACAGACGCGCACCCTTCATCAGCCTTTAAAAAGACGCGCTAAACCATCCCATCCGTTTTGAAAATGACACCGCCAGTGGTACCAAGACCACCAACGGTCCCCATGCTCCTACCAGCGCTGTTAAAGGTTCCTAAAGTAAAACAGCAGATAAGCTGGGGAACTTTTTTTTTTTGGTGCGTAAGGAGCGAGCGGTCGGTAATGGGCCGTGAATAATAGAGAGTGCAGTGCCGTCAGATCCACTTTCTGCTCAGCGCCGATAAGCGGCTGTCAGGCCCCATCCTCTTTCTTCCTCCCGGGCTGGCTGCTCGGCTCAGGGTCGCTGTATCTTAATAACATCTGTGCTGGGAGGAGGATTAATGCAGGCGCAGCGCCGGAGAACGCGGTGTGGGCTTTGCAGATTGCACAGCTGACTCTGCGCCGAGCATCGCCAGCTATCTCCCCACGTCCTCTGTTCTTGCGACTTTCTTATGTCACCTCTTTAATGTGGGATTTATTTCGTTTTTATGTGCGATTTATCTTTTCCGCGTGTGTGCTGCGAGGAAACGGTGTCTTGCGCCTTGATCAGAATATCATCTTCGTTGCAGACTCTACGGGTAGCCCGATCGGCTCTGCCCGTTCAGAACTGAAACGACTACTTCTCAACGGAACAAAAACAAAAAAGTGCGCACAGCAACCTCGACGAGTTTTCGTCTGTCGCTTATTCAGAAAGTTCCGCAGTCTCCCCAGCGGGTTAGTGTGAAGTTTACTGTGCCGCAGGTGAAGCCGTCCCCGAAGATGAGCAGCTCAGCGAGAGGGAGCAGAAGAGCTTGGAGACGTGCGACAACACGCCCATCATCGACAACCTGGCTCCGTCCATCGCCCTCGTCTCCACGGAGGAGAAGAGGAAGTACGAGGAGGAGATCAGCAAGCTGTACAAACAGCTGGACGACAAGGTGCGCACCGCGCCTACGCGCCTTGTGCCTAAAGCACAGTAATAAAACCGACACTGCGAGAGCATCCCACTGCCACTGCCGCAACTTCCAATAAGGCAATGCGCTTCAACTATTGGGGCAAAACCTGTAAAGAAAAGGTTTAGCTTTAGTTTTTAATTAAAGACATACCACCATCTCTGCCCGAACCGTTTCTGTTTCCAAGAAGGAAAAGGAGGCGGCTTAGGATCCAAAACCTACAGCTTTTAGGCCCTCCAGATTTGGTCAAACCCCGGAAGAAACACAAACAAAAAACGTCATACAGCAGATTAAGTTATGGATTGGATAATATGTTTCCCTTAAAAAAAAGTTCTGTTGTTATTGTAATTATAGTCATAAAAGAAAATGTCAAGAGCTAAGTCATTTTTGTCATGATCGATTTCCAGAATTTGTCAAGGAATTAGTATTCCTTCAAACCCAGTTGAACAAGCGCAGATCTGCGGAGTGCTGTAGATCACTCTGGAGGGTGTTAATAGCTCCTGAAACATGTGACTTCCTCCTCGGTGAAACCCAGTTGTGGGAGGCAGTGGTGGAGAAGTCTTAAGACTGGCCCTGCTGCAGGTTCACGGCCCTCTTACCTTCCTGAGGCAGAAGGGGGGGCCGCCCCTCTGACTAAACCTGCCTCAGTGCGTGTGAACATGGAACCGAAGTATTGCCCGGTACCCAGGAGCCTCGCTGATGACGTTTCCCAGCTCCCAGATCCGTTTTGCTTAAACGAGCTGCGGTTTCTTCCGTTTGCTGCAGGATGATGAGATTAATCAGCAGAGCCAGCTAGCTGAGAAACTGAAACAACAGATGCTGGACCAGGAGGAGGTGAGGTGGGAGCGGCTGTTAATCCCGTTAACCGTCTTGTCAGTGAAAACGGGGGTTTCTAAGAGCTGTCTTCTGAAGAACAGGTAATGAGCGCTGTGCACTGGGTTGTGGTTTTTATAAAAGATGACAGAATCCCCTCGGATTTAATCGGAGCGAAATGTGCTTAGACGCTGAGAGGTCCGCTCAGCTGTGCTAATTGATAACAGCTCACACCATCGCCTACCAACATCAGTCACTCAGGCTGGGCACGTCAGTCGCTGTTCTGATTCTAATCCAGCACAGACACTTCAATCTGAATTATTGGGTGTCGCCTCATGAAGGCTGGAGGCATCTCTGTGTTCAGACACATTCATATTAAACAGTAACACAGAGGTGACTGAGCAGTGCTTAGGGTTCTGGACTGGAGGGTTGTGGGTTCAGATCCCGAGATGTGACACTGCTGCTGTACTCTCGAGCAGTAAAATATTCAGCAGTATTAATGGATGCACTTTTAAGAATAAAAGCACAAGCCAAATAATTTAGTAATTGTAATTAGTGAGTTTGGTGAAAGCTTTTGACAAAATAGACATCAGTTGTTATACACCCGATGTCCCCACCCGGCACTTCCTGAGACAGGAAAAAGTTAAATAAATGGGCTCTTCTTTTGAAACAGATGAATGAATGGATGAGTTTTTTATAGTGATATGTAGTTATTGGAGGGGTCATGGTGGC